GTAGCTGGAACTACAGGTGTGCGCTACCACACCTGGCTAATTTTTTATTTATTGTAGAGACAAGGTCTCGCCAAGTTGCCCGGGCTGGTCTTGAACCTGCGAACTCAGGCAATGCACTCGCCTTGGCCTCCCAAAATATTGGGATTACAGCCTGAGCCAATGAGCCCAGCCTCTTTCTCTCCTTTTTATCATCAGGAATGTACCAAGTAGGTAAGAATTGCAAAATACTGAGCATTTTTAAATCCTCTCTTGAGGTTCTATGTGTACAGGTGTGTGATTTTTTAAGGAGTTAGAATTTCATTCATTTGAATTCCACAAATTTCAAATTCTAGAATTTCATGTGGGAACTAAGCTGACATTTACTTTTGCATGTGCTAAAGAGTTTGCCAAGCAAACTAGTAGTTTTAACAAGATTGACTACATATAACATCAAAGTTTTTCAAGTAACTTTGGAGTAGCCATTTTTAAAATGATTGAGATCGTGTAATCTAATTCTTACCTTTTCATTAAGGCAGATTCCCAGAGGCCTCTTTGAGGTGAAATTCTATAGGCATAGTTGAGTGACAATAGTCATTGAGTCATCCATTCCACAGATGCTTACTAAGTACCTTGATGTATTAGGTGCTGGGCATATAATGAAGATGGGATAAATGTGGTCACTGTCTCCTAAGATGTTAACATGGATTGCACACATTAGCAAAGATGCACTTGACTATATTTACTTAGGGATAATGAAATAATAATTATTTTTAAATGTCCTGATGTTTTAGCATGTCAGTAATTCAAACTGACCTTTTCTCTGTTATTCTGCTTTGTTGACATAATCCTATAGTACACAATTCTTTTTTTGGTGAAACAGCAGAAATTTATTTTTTTCTTCTTTTGAAAATTTTTATTTTAACTGATATAGATAAAAATAATATATATCTATGGCATACAACATGATGCGTTTTTTGCTTTTATTTTTTAATGGACACATAATCATACATATTTATGGGATACAGTGATTTTCAGTACATGCATATAGCATGTAATGATCAAATCAGGGTAATTAACATATATATCACCTCAAACATTCATTATTTTTTTGTGTTGGGAACATTCAGAATCTGCTCTTCTAGCTATTTGAAAAAGATTGTTGTAGTTTACCCTAGAATGCGATAGAATGGCAGAATGCATTCCTCCTATCTGGCTGTACTTTGGCACTTGTTAGTTAACCTTTGGTCCCCCCCTCCTATTCTTCCCAGTCTCTGGGTAACCACTGTTCTACTCTCTACTTCTATGAAATCCATTTTTTTGGCTTCCACATATGAGTAAGAACAATGCAGTGTTTATCTTTCGGTGCTTGGCTTATTTCACTTAACTCAGTTTCCTCCAAGCTCATCCATATTTCTGCAAATGACAGGATTTTGTTCTTTTTATGGCTAAATAGTAATGTTTTGATATATGTATGCATTGTAGAATGGCTAAATAAAACTATTTAACATATGCTTACCTTACATATTTTTTGTGGTGAGAATGCTTAAAATCTCTCTTAGCTACTTTCAAATATATTGTTATTAATTATAGTTATCATGATGTACAATAGATATCTTGACTCTATGGTGTAGTTTCTGTCATGGCTTTTTAAAAATACTATTTGAAAAGAAAGGTGTTTTAACTTGAAGTTCCTACCCACCTTAAGGCAGGATTCATGCAGCATTCGTCTCCATGTGTTCACTGTACTTCCCATTGGTCATTGTTATCCAGATAGCTTTTTAAAATGTGCAATACTAGCAAACAACAGCGACAATATATATATACATAACACATTTTTTAAACCCAGTCATTTTACAGGGCTGGGTTCCAGGCGGTGTGGAAGCTTGAGGATTTTTTGCACTCCTTTCCTCTCCTCTACTTAAACCCCTCCCATCTCAGAGAGGCCCCAGGCCTGTGCAGCCCTGGCCTCTCTGGTTGTAGTTGGTGAATGAGAAAGGCAGGATCTGTGACCACAGAGGGGAGGAGGTGGGCCCAGGATGTGAACAGGCAGGATTTGGTGAGGAGGAGTTTTTTTTCCTCTGTCACCTTTATCTCCTAGCCACTCAGAGCACTCTACCACCCTGGAGGAAAGTGATGTCACCTTTAATTATCAGTAATTTAATGGGTTGCCTTTCTCCATGACATTTGCTGCTACTTTGTAAGTCTGGGTTAGCAAAGGCCAGCCTGCTGGCATTACGAATGGTTTTGTTGCCCTGTGGATGGTAGTACTGGCTGTGCTTGCACACCTCACCAGGCTCCTTCCAAGTCTAGGCCAGGGAATGCAAGCTGGGCTCAGCTGGAATCCAGACAACTGTGCCTCCCTGCAGAGGGACATTCATTCAGGGCCATGCGAATCATACCTAATTGCTTGGGATAACAAATGAAGAAAGTTCAAATAGAGAGAAAGTACAAAGACCTACATACCACTGATGTGCATTCCTTACGTGAAATACCAGCTACTGTTTCTTAACGGCTTTGCACAACTCTTTATTTTTTTACACTGAGGAGAAACCTCTATATTTTTTACTTATGCCTGAGGGTTCACTCCTTAGGCTTTGCTTAAAACCATATTCTGCATGTTCTCACTCCTGTTAGCCTGCTGAAAGCAGCACTGCGGGGTTGTGCTGTGACTGATTAGACAGAGAGTGTCAGTTGTTCTTCTTAATACAACTAACTGACTAGTTCTTTCCATCTGCTTAGCCTCTCTCTCTCTCTCTCTCTCTCTCGTTCTCTCTCTTTCTCTCTTGCCTCGCCTCTCGTCTCTCTCCTCTCCTCTCTCTTTTTTTAAAATTACAGTTTATTGGGATTATTTCTACTATAAAAGTTGCACTCAGAGAAAATCCTCACTATAGAAAATACAAAACATTGGAGAAAATCACTTCTTGTACCAACTTGTAGTCTCTGTTAACATTTTAAAATATTTTCTGTCTTTTTTCTACACATTTGAATTTCTTTTTTACAGGCCTGATTATTTTTTTAAATTATTATGGTAAAAAATATATATAACATAAAATGTATCCTCAACCACTTTTGCATGTTCCCTTCATCTCTTTTTAAAGTGGGAACTGATTTCCTACAGGCCAAAACTTTTTCTTCTCATGTGTTTTCAACTTTGTTTTCTTTCCAAGTTAGAACTGAAAATCCAGAAGGGTTGTTATTAGCTAGTTCATGCCTACATGTCCACAGTCCCTTTGTTTTCTGTTTTTTCAATAGTATAGCCCTGTCCTGCCAACTACATTTATGTCACTATAGCACCCTCCCTTCCAGATGACAGTGGAGGTTCAGGGCTGTTGTGAATGTTTTTTCTAAAATTCTGGTAATTGCCTGTTGACTACAAGCAACTTCAGATTCTTCTGTCCTTTTCCTTTTCTTACTAAAGATTTTGAACCACATTTAGACAAAACAGTGAGATTTTTGACCCAGGGTGTCATGATGATTTCCTTACATCTTTTTTCAGAGCATCTGTAAGTTTAATGAAGCTGGAAGAGACAGTGTTTAACCTAGATCATTTAAGCTGAAACAGTGAAATTGCAAGGACTTGGCCACTGGAGCGGGGATGTATTTCTGGTCAGGAGCCTATCTGAGAAGTCTTAAGGGAATAATCCATAATTTTGATTATTTGCTATTACTTTACCTGCACGTATATATGTATGTGTGTGTGTATATATATGTTTGCTTTTCCTTCTGTTCTAGGGCCACCGCCACCCAGTTCAGGGCATGAGCAGCATTCATCAGCCTCCATCTTCGAGCATGTGGACAGGATTTCCCGCCCCTCAGAAGCCAGTCGGCGGGTCCCCAGTAGGATCCAACTAATCGCCATGCAGCCAATCCCAGCACCCCCAGCTCAGCGCCCCTCACCAGCTGACCGAGTGGCAGAAACCAACAAAATCAACAAAGAGGTATTTGTTTTTATTTTTAAAAGAGTATGTTAATTTAAAAACTCACATTCTGATTTGGGCAGTTCTTGGAAATGAGTGAAAGATACCACATCAAGCGGTGACCAAAGGCATGAACGACTGACAAGGCTCTTCATTTAAAACATTACACATGGCTGGTCTCGGTGGCTCAGCCTGTAATCCTGCACTTTGGTAGGCCAAAGTGAGTGGATTGCCTGAGCCCGCGGGTTTGACTTGGTGAGACCTCATCTCTACAATAAAAATCAAAAAATTAGCCGGGCGTGGTAGCGCACGCCTGTAGTTCCAGCTACTTGGAAGGCTGAGGCGGAAGGATCGCCGGAGCCCAGCAGGTCAAGGCTGCGGTGGCCGGGAGCAGCCACTGTACTCCAGTCTGGGCGACAGAGTGACTCCAACTAAAAAAAAAAAAAAAAAAATTACACATGTTTTGTTTTAGATCAGGTGCTGTTCAAGGACACTGTTAGGCGTGTTGACAGAAATGCAAAAAAGTGTCGAAGTAGCAAACTGGGGGCTCATCCCTTAAAAAACCTGCTTTGGCTCCTGTTCTGATTCTCCTTGCTCCTTAAGACCCAATCCAGGTCCCATGTGACCAGCAGTGGTATGTCTCCATCTCTGTGGATGCCATTCTTGGGGGAAGATTTGGTGTTGGGAAACTTGTTTCAGTAACTGGAAGTAGCTATCAGGAAGTGGGTATCCTGCAAATTGCAAACTGCTTCTTTGCATCTGTCTGTCTTACTTTAAAAATCTCTAAAGGAGTGATATTATTGGGTATGGAAAAATGTTTATTTATTTTTTGAGTTGAGGGTTTCATTCTGTCACCCATGCTGGAAAGCAGTGGCATGATTGATTATGGCTCACTGCAGCCTCTACCTCCTTGGCTTATGTGATCCTCCTGCCTCAGCCTCCCTAGTAGCTGGGACTATAGGCATATATGCCACCACATCCTGCTCATTTTTCTTTCTTTCTTTCTTTTTTTTTTTTGTAGAGACTAGTTCTTGCTTTATTGCCCAAGCTGATCTCAAACTCCTGGCCTCAAGCCATCCTACTGCCTCAGACTCCCAAAGTGCTGGGATTACAGGTGTGAGCCACCACACCTAGCTGAAAATGTTTATTCTTTTCTCGGGGCATATTATATCTGATTATCAGACAGCTGTGTCCTTAAAGCTGTCACTAGCCAGTTCCCAAGGTTTTTGTGATATTTTTTTCCCCCTGCTTTGGAGGATAGTGACAAGACTTCCCCACTCCAGTGTGCCACACAGTGTTTGGAACTACAGCTTGTCAAAGTCTCTGTTTCTCTCTGGAGCTCATGTTACCCCCGAGGGGCCCACAGACAGCCAGTTAAGGGTGGGATAGAGGAACGCTGCAGAAAGGCATCCCAGAAGGCTCTGCTGAGCATGTGTCCTAGCAACTCTGAGGACAGGCATGCTGTCGTTCCTCTCCTGTCACCCTGTCTCAGATTCAGACAGCGCTGCGGCACAAGTCTGAGATCGAGCACCATCGAAACAAGATCCGTCTGCGGGCCAAGCGCCGTGGGCACTATGAGTTCCCAGTGGTGGACGATCTGTCTTCAGGCGACACCAAGGAGCGACACCGGGTGTACCGCAGGGCACAGATGCAGATTGACAAGATCCTGGACCCCACGGCCAGTGTGCCCTCAGTGTTCATAGAGCCCAGGAAGAGGTGGGCCGGGGCACTGTGGGGGACAGTGGGGAGGGCACGGGTACATCACAGGTCACAGGAGCACAGCTGAGTCCCATCTGCTGTTGTGGGGACTGTGGCAAAAGGTCCTGCCTGTTTTCACATGAAAGTCATTGAAAGCGTTCGAAGAGGTTTGTGCACAGACAGGCTGTGCAGGCCCTGGCGGACCTCAATCCTCCCTTCGGTCTCCTTGATGTCGAGGTGTGCTGCACCCCCTCAGCTCCCCTACTTGCCTCAGCACGTTTGCTGTGGATTTGATCTGCCTCCTCTAATCCAGCTTGTCTGAGACTGTGTGTATCCCATCCTTCTCCAGCCAGCTTCTCTGTAGCTCCCTTGCCTCTTTCTCACCTCCGTTCCATCACCTCCAATATATTTTCATCTTCTGGGCATCACCCAGGCTGGTGCCCTGTGGACCCATCACGTGTTTTCTCACAGTCGCCTGCGAAGTCTTACCTGACCAACCTCCCAGTTCCCGCCCCAGTGTGCATGCAGCTTCTCCACACACTGCCCTCATGTATGTCTTTCCCTGCCGTAAACCTGAGATGTCTTTTGTGGCTGGCCACGAGAAGCCCGTGCCCCTTGCTCCAGCTCCTTTCCACAAGTCCACATAGTCAGAACTGCCACCCCGGGGGTGGTTGTCTCACCACACCCCAAGCATTCACCCGCATCCCCATCTCTGACCCTAACATGCTTGTGCTCAACCCACACATCCACTTGCCACATCTCTCCATGCTCCAAGCCCTCTCACTCTTCAGGACCCACGTCAGGCCCTGTGGAGCCAACTTCAGTGCTGGTGGCTCACACTGACTTCTCCCTTTTTTGAACATGTCCATAGTTGTATAATGTCATGTTTAGAGATGCCTTGTACTAACATCTCTTGCTTCACAAGAGTCAATACTAGTCTGTCTGGGTAGGTTCCAAGCTTCCTTAGAGCAGAGACTGTGTCTTAAATATTGTTCATATCCCATGGGGTATTTAGTATAGTGGCCAGTACCTCCTAGGTACTCAGAAAATACTTAGCTTTACTTTAGAAGCTGGTGGCAAGAGGTTTCTCTCCCACACAGATAATTTCTTTTTCTCCTGGCAGTTCACGGATAAAACGTTCTCCTAAGCCACGCCGGAAACACCAGGTCAACGGCTACCCTCCCGATGCTGAAAAGGACAGACTTATCACCACAGACAGTGACGGCACTTACAAAAGGCCTCCCGGTGTCCACAACTCTGCCTACATGGGCTGCCCGGTGTGTCAGGGAGTTGGGGTGGGGTGGCTCTCAGGACAGTGTGTTAATGGGAGAGGCCAGAGCAGAGGGACTGCTGCCCTATTTGGTATTGGTGCTTATGGCTGATGCTCCAAGGCCAGACGGTTGTAGAGCGTGTTGTAGGGGGTGAAGGACCTCCTGCTGAGGGGAGACTTGAGTCATACCAACCACCACAGGACTGCTGGTGCTACTTCTGGAAACACATGCTATGTTTTTTTCTATATGTAAGCCCTGTTCTCTCAGGCTTCAGAATGGGAACTTCTTGAGGTTAACTAGAAAATAGAAATGTCCAGAAGGTTTTTTATTAGTTTGTTTGTTTTGAGGTGTAGTCTCACTCTGTCACCTAGGCTGAAGTGCAATGGCATGATCACGACGACTATGGCATTCTCGACTTCCTGTGCTCAGGCAAACATTCCACCTCAGCATCCCGAATAGCGGGGACTACAGTCCTCCACCACCATGTCCAGTTAATTTTTTTAGTGTTTTGTAATGATGAGGTCTCACTCTGTTGCCCAGGCTGGTCTCGAACTCCTGGGCTCAAGCAGTTCACCCACCTCAGCCTCCCAAAGTGCTGGGATTAGAGGTGTGAGACACTGCACCTGGCCCAGAAGATTTTTTCTTCCCCCTAGTCAGAGGGCTGTTTGGATTTCTTGATGATGGGAGGGGTATTGAGGATTTGTTCCCTCCCCTTCCTCCAGAGTGCTGAGGAGATAGTATATTTGCTAATACATATATATTTTATTTTTATGGGAGAAAGAGCTGAGTGGAAATCAAGAAATAAGGAATTAATCATTTTTTTCCACATTGAAAGGGGCCACACAGAGTTGTTGGAAGTGTTAAAGGCAGACACTGATAGCATTAGGACAGGTACACACACAGATCCCAATGAGCAGGGAAGAAAGAGCCAGCCTCACTGAGGGGCTAGGACAAATGCAGACAAAGTTACCTCAAGACAGAGAGTGAGGGTCAGATACAGCTAATGTTGGTGGCACTGGGGAGACACAGAAACCCCTTAAAGTTCTGTGCCAGGGAGCAGCCCTGCCTTGTTGCACAAGGCCCTTCCTCCTTTCTGCAGACAAATTCAGAGAGCCGTCCTTGATTAGAGGGACATCAGCACACAACACATCTCGGAGAAGGAATTTGTGATGTGCACGATCTCTTTAGATAGCGCTTTCTTATGTGAGGTTTGTGTTTTCCTCCTAAATCATACAAATAACTAACACTGAAAGATACCAAATATAATTACACAAATGTGCTGGACACCATATTCATGTGGGGCTCAAATATAACTGAATCATGAACACTTGAAAGAACCAGATTTCTCCTTGAGAATTTACTGTGTTTCTAGTGTCCTAAAGACTGACTGACCGTGATCTACTCACAAGGACTGATGCGATTTCAGAGAGCTGGAAGATCTACAACTTAGACTAACAGTTCCTGTGCGCCTCAGAGAAGAACTGTCACCGGCAGTTCTTACAGTAGATGGTGCTCTTGTGCTGCGTTGGGCTGTTGGAAGGGCATTTGAGTGTCTGTGGTGTTTGGCTTGATCAGGGATGGGCTGTCCCCTTGGGTCCCCAGGATAGGCACCTGGAGCTTTTGTCTGTCTGAAACAGGGACTTCCTGTGGAGTGGAACGAATGACTAGGAGGAGAGGCAGTATTCCTTCTTCTGCCTTCACTCTCCTAGCCAGCCTGGTCTCATTCTCTCCAAGTAGTCCAGGGGAGTCTTCTTGTGCCCTCCCTTCTCTGGCTAATGGCACCTGAGTTCTGTCATTCGGTACCATTTTGAGTTTTATGTGGGGAGCAACCTGTTTTCTTCTTGCTACTTCATTCGCCTACGTGGATGACCCTAAATCATACTTCTTTCATGATGGCTTGCACCATCTTTTTTTCTTCCTTTTATCCTCAGCAGAAAGTACAGAGATTCTTCCTTCAATGGGTGGGAAGAAGCCACTTCCTGGAGATCACCACCTCAGAGATTTGCCTGTCTTCAATGACTCCTTTTTTCAAAGATTCCCTAAAATGAAAGTATTCCTCAGATGAGCTTACTGTTTACGTTTTCTCCCTAACAATTCTGAAACATGTACTCTCAGAACTCACTTTTTATTAGGTGAATTTTCATCTTCAGTGCTATATTAGGGCTGTACTACATGTTTGTGGAATTACCTTGAATTTTCCATTTTTCCTTCAAAATATCTTCTCCTTGAGGGCTCTGTTCTCATAAGGCCAAGAGAAACATTTCTTGGTTCCTTGTAACCAGGGTTACTGTTATAACTCAGGCATCAGCAGATATCTAGCTAGCTGCCTGTTTTTGTAAATAAGGTTTTATTTTCACACAGCCACATCCACTTATTGCCATGTTATCTATAACTGTTTATGCTGCAAGACAGAGCTGAGTAGTTGTGACAGAGACTGTATGACTTGCAAAACCTAAAATATTCACTATCTGGCCCTTTAAAAGAAAAGTTTGTCAGCCCCTGATATAATTTGCCATCCAAATCAGACACTTCTGAAAGTATAAGGGACACTATCAATTGCTATAATGGGACAACAGGTTGTCCTGGACAGCCCAGAGTATGTGGCCACTGTCTTATAATAACCACAAAGGATTGCAAAATAGGCACTCAAATACATCATTTTGATGACTAAGGGTAAAAAGGTTCAGGTGTATTTCTGAAGAATGATAGATGAATGTGTATCTGTACAAAGGGAACAAAGTCAAACTTTGCATGTTCTCACAAGTGGGAGCTGGCTGGGCTTGGTGGCTCACCCTATAATCCCAGCATTTTGGGAGGCCAAGGTAAGAGGATTACCTCAGCCCATGGGTTCAAGACCGGCCTGGGCAACTCAGTGAGACCTCATCTCTACAATAAATCAAAAAATTAGCCAGGCATGGTGGTGCATGCCTGTAGTTTCAGCTACTTGGAAGGCAGAAGGATCGCCTGAACCCAGCAGGTCGAGACTGCAGTGACTGTGAGCATGCCACTGCATTCTAGTTTATGTGGCAGAGTGAGACTCCACCTCAAAAACAAAAACAAAAACAAGTGGGAGCTAAACAGTGGGTTCACACGGACATACAGACAGAGAGAAGTAGCAGGCTCTGGGGACTCCAAAAGGGGGAAGAACGGGGTGGGGATGAGGGTTGAAAAATTATCTGTTACGTGCAGTGTTTGGGTGATAGGCACACTAGAAGCCCACCATTACACAGCATATCCATGTAAAAAACCCGTACCCCTAAATCTACAAAAATAAAAATAAAAAACAAATTTAAAGAATAATAATAGAATTACCAGACTGGGATTCAGGAGAATGAAATTCAGTTTCCAACTCAGGAATCCCGGGTAAAGCTTAACTTCTGTAGACCTGTTCTTCATTTATTAGGTGCTATCTATATGTGAAACATTGTGCTAGATGTTGGGATGTGGAAAATAAGAACTTTTCTTGGCCTGCAGGTTCTAACCTGCAAAAGGAGGGGTCAACAAGGAGATGAAGACAGGAAGTTCCGACGTCCTGGCTCTAGCCTTAGCCTTCTTGGAGGGATTCACGGGACCAGTGGGAATCCAAGAACCATCTTCTATCTATAGCCACCTTCCCATCTATAGCAGATCTCTCCTGCTATAAGAGTTAAACCTTCTCTAAAATTACGACCACTATGGAAGAAACTGGCAGTTGGCAACAGCTCTGGGATACTCTCCTCAAGTATATTGGGAGCCTTAACCCACCCCTGTTGAATTTCTGTTTGTACTTGCAGTTCATAATGGACCCACACCACCTTGCTTCCCTGCAATACAGTTACACGGTCATTGCTCAGAGCATTGTTTGTGTCTTCAGAGAAACCCTCTTACTTACCAGCAGGGTGTTCTTGCTGACGTGCTTTCCCTTCTTCCTGCCAGTGAATTATGGGTTGGTGACACACTACTGAAAATCGAGAATTAGAGAAGGCAGGACTGTGAACCTTTCTCCACTTCACAAGGAAGCGGGGGCACGCAGATTCCTTCCAAGGTCCCATTGGAAGTCCTCTTTGGGTGATTAGGATTCCTGGATGCCTAATGTTACTTAGTAGAACCTCTTCTGGAGTACTGCAGTTTTGCAGAAACAGGCTTGCAAGATAAGTGTGTGATGAGTGTTAGGGGGGGTCATGGTGGGAACTGTCCTGGAGACAAGGGCACCTGCCCCATCCCAAAAGGGAGGTCGCTGCTCAACAGAAGCTGGTTGTTTTTGTGTGGAGTGGGTGGTCAGTCATGCCAGAACTTCCGTTTCTGCCAGGAGAATCCAGAAATCTGAGTGTTCATAGGAACTTTTCAGATTTTTCAAATATTGTGTATCTATTGTAAAAAAGATTCTGTAGGCCAAGCAGAACAAGCCCGTTGGCTGCTGTGGGCTTGCCCTTTTGTAGTGTGTTTCTTCTCAGTTTGGAGTTAAGCAGCTTCTGCCGTCCACTGAGTGTCCATTGGGCAGACTTTGATCATGAGAAAGCATTTTCTGGACAGGCCGCTGAGATTCAGGATGTGTCGGTGGGATAGAGTTTTTCTTTGTAATGAACTCACGCATCCAGAGGGATATGGGAATGTCTTTCTTGACCCCTTGAGGGGGTGGTCCCACCACCTGAGCTGTGTGGACTCCTGGTGAGAAGAGCATTCCAGATAGGAGGCATCCGTCCTTCCTTGCAGTGCAGGCTCCCCAGCCCCTTGGGTAGAACCTCTTCTCTTCTCAGTGTGTCTGCTGCATGATTCTCGGGCCTGTGGAGCCCCTGAGACCAGAAAGGACCCTTCTGTTGGTTCCCTGTTTTGTCTCTTACAGTTTTTCTCATGTATATTATGATAGCATTTTGCTCCTAACATCAGGAAATATGATGTTTTAAAAAATTACTTGTATTCCTACCTCTTAAACAGTGGGTATAGAGCGTAATTTAAACCTTTCTTAATGACCCATGTTATCCAGAGATACCTCTGTTTCGTAGACAAATGGTTTCTGAATAATCGTCACTACTCACTACTGTAAATAGTTGTTAAATAGGTATTATAGCCAGACGCAGTGGCTCACACCTGTAATCCCAGCACTGTAGGAGACAGAGGTGAGAAGATTGCCTGAGCTCAGGGGTTTGAGACCAGCCTGAGCAACATGGCGAGACTTCATCTCTACAATAAATAAATAAATCAGCCAAGCGTGGTGGCGCATGCCTGTGGTTCCAGCTACTTGGAAGGTTGAGGTGAAAGGATTGCCTGAGCCCAGCATGTTTAGTGTGTGCCACTGCGCTCCAGCCTGGGCAACAGAGTGACACTCTGACTCAAAAAAATTAAAAATTAAACATTAAAAAATAGGTATTAAAGGTATTAATGATTGTACAAACACACACATAGTTTTAGTATGGCAGTGACTTTGGCTTCTTTTAGGAATATATAGGGCTATTTCTTCTAACATCAGGAAATATGATGTTTTAAAAAATTACTTGTATTCCTGCCTCTTAAACAGTGGGTATAGAGCATAATTTAAACCTTTCTTAATGACCCATGTTATCCAGAGATACCTCTGTTTTGTAGACAAATGGTTTATAGACTGTTAATAGTCTGTAGACTGCTTACTTTTCGGTTTCTAAGTCTATGGAAAGTTGACTAGGTTTTTTTTTAGCATATACGTTTTGGAACATGTTTTTTTGGCTGCTTAGAAGCTTTCAGTAAAATATTTACTTCCAGGTACTGAAGATGCATTTTAGATAGTTGAGTTTTTCCTGAAGGAAAAAAAAAGATTGTTGAATATTACCATTTTTTTTCCTTTTCTTCCTGAGTTAAGCTTCCCACCATGAAGTGTAATGCACATTCCTCTATTAAATAAGCCTTTTCCTCGATGTCAGGAAAATTGTTTGGGGTTGCCACAAAAGCTCATGCTTGATTCCTCTTTCCTTTGCTACTTTCCCTGTTGCAGTCGGATCCTGACCTCCCAGCAGATGTGCAGACGCCATCCTCAGTGGAGCTGGGGAGATATCCAGGCCTGCCTTTCCCAGCCTCCCAGTACATCCCGCCCCAGCCGTCCATCGAGGAGGCACGCCAGACCATGCACTCCCTCCTAGATGACGCCTTTGCCCTTGTGGCCCCCAGCAGCCAGCCTGCCAATGCCACAGGTGCCGGCCCCGGGGTCCCACCTGGCTTGCCTGTGAACAGCACCCCATCCCGGGAAGACAGGCGAGCCACCCAGTGGGGGTCCTTCTACAGCCCAGCCCAGACGGCCAGCAACCCATGCAGCGTAAGTACTAGCCTTCTAGAATTCTCTGCTGGACAAGGTGTTGGAATTGTGTTTCATGACTGCATCACTTTCAGGCTCCCCACTAAACTTTGATTGCATTTGATAAGAGTGAAAGCTTGGATGATGGGCCTCAGTTTTTATTCTCGTCTGCTAAATTAATTCTTAACTTCGGAAATGTCCTTTTATGCAGGCCTAATATTGACTTTGTTGAGGAATGGACAGGGTTTTTGGAAACATCTTCCTGGGTTCCTCACAGTGTCATGAGTTGGAGGGGGATAACTATCAGAACAAGTGCTCATTGATGTCTCCATAAAAGGTGCAGTTTAGAATGCACCCGTATAAGTTACTTTTTAGTCTGGCCTTTTGGGACTGGGGAGGCCCCTGAGGTTCTGGGATTGTAGGCAGCTAGTCCTCCAGTAGGCAGGGTGTGCCGTTTTCAAAAGTCAGCTTTCTATGTTGGGAGTTGATGTGTTACCTGCCTTTGGTATCCTGTTTGTTTTTCATGTTCGGTCAGTCCTTTCCAGTTTACCTTCTTGAGACATGGAGAAGAAGCAAAACTTAAGGAAGTAACGCTAATACTATTTTCTGCTAATTTCAGATGGAATGATTGGACTGAAATATTTGACTCTGGAGAGAAGTCAGGGAGTGTTTATACAGCGTGACTTTGTTACCTTTATGAAAGTGAAATTGGGGTAGTTGACATGTTAAAGGAATTTTCATCTATGAAATTGGTTTGACTTTTCAAAGTAGGCCTTTAGCCATAGATTGTTTCCTTCAAGGTGTGGGAGGTGTAGCCACAACTATGCGGATGGAAAATGCTATTCAATCTAATCCTTATTGTGTTAATATTAAAATATAGCTTGTTTCAAAAATAAATATAAACTACTTCAAATTTACTACTGGTGGTTTATAATCTTTCTGACAGTGGTTGATAAAACCTGGTGATAAAATAAATGTGGCCATAATGGTTATCTGGTCACTTTAAGCTTTTTTCATTTGCTTATTCATTCAAATATATTTATGAAGCACCTGCTGAATTTCAGTACTCTGCTAAGTGTCGGGGATAGAGTGATGTACAATGTAGGACCCTGTTCTTTAGTTCTTACATTCCGCTGGGGAATATGTGGACAATCAAAACAGTAATTCCAGTGCAGCACGGTAGATGCTATGGGGGGGCGTACCTTGCTGAACATTGGGGTGTTTGGGAAAGATTTTCTGGATAAAATGACATCTAAGTGGCAGTCTAGAGGATAATCAGTGGTCAGCTGAAGAAGACTGTTTCAGGTAATGGGAAGTGCAGCAGAGACACAGAAACTAAAGACAGACAGACTTCATCTTCCGGATAAGATGGAGAAACAGAGTCTAAGTTTTACCTTCCTTTCAGAAACAACAGGAAAAGCAGAACAGAATATATGGGTTTTCATAACATTGGACTTTAGGAAACAAAGGGCACGTATCAGTGAGAAGTGAGTTTAATTCTACAGTTGCCCCCAGCTTATTGGGTTGATGTATAAGTTCATAGCATTTTTCATTTGCCCGTGGAATATAAATGTCACACGATGGCTGACACGGCTCATTCCGTTTGCCAATTCTCAGGTCGCCTGACATGGATCATCATTTAAAGCATTTGAACCGTCTTTATCAGAGCCTGATGGTCTTCCTGAACCATGATGGTCTTCCTGAGCCTGATGGTCTTCTGAGAATTACTCAGATCAAAGCGGCCCTCTTTGAAATGACAAACCCATTTTCTTGCCATGCTTTCCCCAGTGGCATTCTCCCCATCCACAGCACAGGTGTCTGGAGCCGCCTCTGCTGCCTTTATTCCTCAGTTAAATGTAAACAGAAGAATATGTCAGAAGTGTTCATTTTTTCCACTTGATACTCCATTTCTTTTAGCCCACAAATAGCAGTTTCTTTGAATCTCCAAAATGCAAGGCATATTCACAAGCACATTGTTACTCCAAATGACAAACAATAAACAAACTCCCTATGCTGAATTGTTGCGATGCCAAACATGAACGCCATGAACTTATACATCGTCTTAATATATCTGTAGAGTTTCTAGTCACAGATCAGGGAGTAGGACTGCAGGCAGGGAGTCCCAGGCAGAGCTTGGTGGTCACTCCTAGTTGAAAAAATGGAGTTGGGGATTTGGGAGGAAAAGGCACCTAGAGTTGCAGAGAACAGAAAGATGCTTTGAAAAGGAATTCTAGGGAACTTCTGAGAATCTTTGATTGAGTTACTGATCATCTTAAGGGTATGAGGAAACTACCCAAGACTGGGGAAAGAAACACTCAAAAAGAGTAGTGGAAACAATTCTCAGAACTCACACAGGGCAGGGGAAAAAGTTCTTACTGTGAACTGAACTATGTCCCTCCCTCCAAATTCAGATGTTGAAGCCATAGCCTTTCATGTAACTGTATTGGAGATAGGGCCTTTAAGGAGGAGATTAAGGTTAAATGAGGCTATAATGATGGAGTCCTGATCTGATAGAACTGTTGCCCTTATGGGACAAGGAAGAAACAGCAGAGCTCTCTCTGTGTCTTGTAGACACAAGTGACAAGGTGACTATTTGCACTCCAAGAAGAAGACCCTTACCTGAAACTGAATCCTGCTGGGACCAAGCTTCCAACAATTTCTGTTGTTTTAAGCCACCCATTTTAAGGTATTTTACTATGACAGCCTGAGCCAAGTAATATAGTTCCTTTCCCAATAGTCGGTGGAAATTACATAATTCATGGAGCATCAGTTAGAGTACTCAGAAGAATTTTGGTACAAATTTAACCTCAGATGAAAGCTGAGGAGGAACTCAGATCACTCTATGAAAAAGATATCTGCACATGCATGTCTATTGCAGCATTGTTCACAATAACAAAAACATGGAACCAACCGTGCTGTCCGTCGAAAGAGGACTGGATATTTTAAAATGTGGTATATATACACTATGGAATATTACGCAGCCATAAAGAAGGATAAAATTATGAACTTCACAGCAACTTAGATGGACTCAGAGTCTATAATACTGAGTGCTCTATCACAGAAACAAAGAACTGAGTATCACATGTTCTCACTCATAAGTGGACCTTGAACAGCCATCATAGTATTATTAGAAAAGGATTGTCAGTAGTGGGAAATTACTGGGAGAGGGGTGAGATTGGCAGTAGCAGGATTCTACTGGGAAGGGGAGCACACCTCATCAACAAGGGTACCTGCATAATGAACATTTGTATACCTAACCTTGAATTGTACCCCACATCTTTAAAATAAAAAAATTTTTTAAAAAGAAAGCTACTCTGATTCTACCTAACACAAAAACATAAAGCATGAACCCAAACAAAGCTCAAGAATATTTATAGAAACATAAAAACAGCATCTGATAAGGTAAAATTAATAATGTCTGACATAAAATCAAAACTAAATAGACAAGCAGAGATGCAGGAAAGTGACACAGAAGATGGCATTAGTAGACAAGAGAGTAAAATAATTATTATATTGGAGTACCATATATTCAAGAAGCTAGAGGGAAGATTGCATGTGTTAATTAGAGGTATTGAAGATATTAAATCAAACTTAGGAAAGCTACAGTGTCTGAGAGGGAAAAAATATACTGAATGAGATTAATGGCAGATTACATATTGCAGAAGAAAAGATGAGTGGGCTGTAGTAATAAAAACAGTATAATATTGACATAAAACTAGAAGCACAGACCAATTGAACAGAATAGAGACCCCAGAAATAAATCCACACGTATATGGTCAACTAATTTTTGACAAAAGTCACAAAGAGAATGTGATGGGGAAAAGATAGTTTCTTCAATAAATGGTGCTGGGAAAACTGAACTTCCATATGCAAAACAATGAAATTAGACTCTCACACCATACATTGAAATCAACTCAAAATGGATAAAAAGTCCTACATATAAGAATTGGAATCATAAAACTTCTAGAAGAGAACATATGGGGAAAGCTCCTTAATATTGATCTTGGCGAAGTTTTTTGTTTTTTGAGTATCACATCAAAAGCTCAGGCTACAAAGGCAAAAGTAAATAAATGGGACTATATCAAACCAAAAAGTTCTGTACAGCAAAGGAACAATCAACAATATCTGACAGGGGTTGTTTTTGTTTTTGTTTTTGTTTTTTTTAAGGCCAAGAGATTTATTAAAGCGGCGGTTACAAGGGAAAAAGGGAAAGGGGCTGTGGGGAGAGAGAGAGAGAGGAAGTGGGAGAGAGGCGGGGAGAGAGCTGCAGAGAGGGAGAGGGCAACAGAGAGAGAGAAAGAGAGACCGAGCGAGCTGTTGTTTTGTTTTAAGTCTAATTTCTGTCACCCAGACTGGAGTGTAGTGGCATGATCATGGCTCAATGCAGCCTCAAACATGTGGACTAAAGTGATCCTCCTGCCTCTGCCTCTTGAATGACTGAGACTACAGGCACACACCACCACACCCTGCTAATTTTTAAAATTTTTTGTAGAGACGAGGTCTTGCTACGTTACTTAGGCTAGTCTTGAACTTCTGGGCTCAAGCAATCCTCCCACCTTATCCTTCCAAAGTTCTGGGATTACAGGTATGAGCCACTGTGCCTGGCCTCTGATAGAGGTTAATATCCAAAATGCATTGAAGAAATACTCTTACAATTCAATAGCAGAAAAACAATAATCCAATTTTAAGATGGGCAAAGAACCTGAACAGATATTTTCCCAAGAAGTACATAAATAAGGCCAACAGGTGTGTAAAAGGGTGCTCAAAGTCACTATTTTTCAGAGAAGTGCAAATTAAAGTCTCTGTGAGAGATCACCTAGAATGACTTTTGTCAAAAAGATAAGAGGTAACAAATGTTGGTGAGGGTGTGGGGAAAAGGGAACCCTAGCACACTCCCTGTAACAGTATACTCTTAGTGGAAATGTACATTGGCACAGTTATTATAGAAAACACTACAGAGATTCCTAAAAAAATTAAAAGTAGAACTATCATATGACCTACCAATCTCTTTTCTAGGTATA